TTAGCCATTTTGGATTTGACAGTAGAATCCAATGTTTTATAGTGCAAGAAAAGTCACCCATTTCATCTTACTTTGACATTTCACTTACAGATCACTTTGTACTAACCATTTCATGTTTTTCCATGTTTTTGTTCGTGCGTTTGTTGATGTTGTTTTTCTTCATTGGATATATATTCCCTTATATGGATATGCTCATTGCAAATTTAACCATATAAGGTCATATGAATATTCACAGCAGGCATGCTACCTTATATGGTGATATTCATAAGGTATTTGACCATATATGATCATACTATCACATGCTTCATCAAATATTCATGACTTGTATGAATATAATGTTTACAAGTCGTCATAAATAAGTTAAAATGCACCATATTTGGTATTGCTTAATTGGTTATTCAATACTAATAAAGTTTTGTAGTGTAGTTTGGTTTTTAACGGGTGATATATTTGAAAGAAAATAAACTTTTCAACATTGCCAAGTTTGTTGTCCCAGCAGACAGCTAGGCTGTTCTTAAAATTGGACATATACATAATTATTTAGGGCAAAAAGTCACAAAAATTGGGACAAATTTGGTACTGAAGTGTTGGCCAAGGTAAAGAGGTTTTAACTTTAGTGTGTGAGCATATGGTGTAATGGTGCAAGGGGCATGTTTGGGTTTTCTGCACATGTGTTGAAGGGCACATAAGTATCTGCTTTTGCATCGTGAAATTTAGCTGCTATTTAGTGTAGATTCACATTTCAGTGAATTTAGAAAGAAAAAACATGTGCGAATAAAAATGCAGCTTATTGCAGTTGGAGGGACAAAATAAATGTCTCAAAATAAAATGTTTTGTGTAAAAATGCTAATATTTCTCATTCAAGACTTGTGTTATGCTCATGTCTCTCATCATTCAACTGCCATTGCTGCTTTTTATATTGCTAATTTTTTGTTTCATTTTGGCCGTCAAATGCAGTTTTTGTTTCTACAATAGGCTCCTATAGTTTTCCCATTGATGAGGATGCTGATATCACAACATTTGTTGGCATGGTAACTGCAACAGATAAAGATGAAGGTACAAATGGTGATGTTGTGAGATACACAATAATAGATGGAGACGGTACTTTTCAAATTAATGAAACCACCGGAAAAATATCGGTGAATCAATCTTTGGATTATGAAAATGGGGATGAAGAATTTATTTATTTAATAAGTGCGGAAGATGCCCTGCCACGTACAGGGTAAGAGAACTTTTATTTTCAGATGAAAGCTCAGTTTTGACTTAGATGGTATTGCATTGTATGTTAAGTGCATTTGTAACTATTAAGTGGATGCAGTTTTGGATGGAGTAGGGGACTGAAGTTGTAGGAGGATAGTCAAAAGAACTGTTGGCTTGATGGATGTATGGTTGATTGATTTGTTTCAGTTGCCTAATTGTTAGATTGTTAACAGATTGCATGATTGATTGATTTGTTTGTTGTTGAATTGATTAGTTACTTGGTTGGTTGATTTTTTTATTTGCTTGGATAGTTTGATGCGCATGTTGCATGAAAACTAGAATGCAGGATGTTTGATGGAGTAGATTGATGATGAATTGATGGAGTACCCAATAGGTACAGTCACTAATGCTAAGTTGTTTATAAACAAACTTTACAAATTTCTGTTTGTGGTTTACTTTTACAGTACAACTACTGTCACTATCTCAGTGCAGAATATAAATGATGCACCTCCAGTTTTTGTTACACCAGAATACAACTACACTGTATATGAGGTAAGAACATCTCACTAAGTTTTTAAGAGTATGTAATTCAAGTAATAACTCTGAAGTCATGCTTGCAATGTTCAACATGCTGTCTCATTATACGTGTACAGCTTCCTACATCAGTTGCTATTCTTTTTTGTATTGATTGTTTTTTTTTTCTTCTTTTACACTTTCATGCAATGATCGCCAAACCTTTGGCAACGATTGTTGCTCCTTCGTGGACAGATTGTTCTTCCTTCCCATAACCATTCTGATCCTTCCTGCATCTTATTGCCACTTCTTTTCCGACCGATTGCTGGTTCTTCCTCGACCGATTGCCGCTTCTTTCCCGACCGATTGCCACTTCTTTCCCGACCGATTGCCGCTTCTTCCCTGACCCATTGCCGTTTTTTCCCCGACCCATTGTTGCTTCTTCCCCGACCGATTGCCACTTCCCACCTATTTCTTTCTCCCTCTTTCTCCTTACTGCTTCTTCCTAGATCAATTGCTACTCTTTTTCATTTTTTCACTCCAAATTTGTCAAATATTCTGTCAAACATGTATTTGAGTTTTTATTTCATATTCCTTATACTCAGATTGTTATGATTTTATTTTTAGAATTCACGTCCTGGCATCTCAGTAGGTTATATTGAAGCCTTGGACCCTGATGGCGATAACTTATCGTACTCTCTGAATGATACAGTCAATAGTAAGAATTTAATATTAAAATATAAAGATTGTTACACTATAATTTAACGTCTGATAATACATAATACACTATTTTAAAAGTATAAAAAAAAGTTAAATGTTGATTTATTTATTATTGATGTGAATATAAAGTTCTGCCTAGAGTGAACATTTATACTCTCAGCGCAATAAACCCATTTCCTTCATCTTTAGCTCCACTGTCGACTTTGTCGAGCGGAGCTTATCGTATGAGTGATTGTCTGTCGTCCGTGTCAATGTTTTACTTTTTCGACTTCTTCTTGAAAACTACAAGCCTGAATGCTTTGATACTTGGTGTATATGTACCTTGGGTAGACCTCTCTTAGGTTTGTTCATTTCATGTTGATATCTTCAATTCTCTAATTTTGGTGAATATTTTTGTCATTTTTGGTAAAAAGTGATATTTCCGACTTGTTAAAAACCGCAAATGCAATTGCTTTGATATTACATATATAGGTACTACATGTGGACCTCTCTCAGATTTGTTCATTTTGTGATGATATCTTCAATTCTCTAATTTTGGTGAATATTTTTGTAATTTTTGGTAAAAAGTGATATTTTTGACTTCTTGTTAAAAACCAATAGTTCAATTGCTTTGATATTACATATATAGATACTACATGTAGACCTTTCTCAGATTTGTTCATTTTGTGATGATATCTTCAATTCTCTAATTTTGGTGAATATTTTTGTCATTTTTGGTAAAAAGTGATATTTTCGACTTCTTGTTAAAACCAAAGGTTCAATTGCTTTGATATTACATATGTAGATACTACATGTAGACCTTTCTCAGATTTGTTCATTTCGTGATATATCTTCAATTCTCTATTTTGGTAAATATTTTTTGTCATTT